TTTTTTCTGCTGTTCCCTGAGATACGGCAACGATTTTTGAAAATCCCTAAAATTATGCCAGCATGTGTGTGAGCGAGCGAGTGTGTGTGTGTGCGTGCGTTTGGTTTATTGCTGCCTCGAATGTTCAATTGACCAAAATTGTGTTGATTTCGATTCAAGGGTTTTTGTTGTTGTGTGTGCCTCTTCCCTTGCCATAAAACTTGTGATTTGTAATATTTTTCTTCATTGATCGCTGCTGCTGCTTTTTTTTTCTCGAATTGCCTCGACTTCCAACCTCGGATTTTTCGCAATCGTTGCTTTTAAGGTAATTGCGGTTATCAATTGCCGAAATTTATGTGGTAGAAGTCAAAGGTTTATTCTCATTCGTTTGATTACGCTTGTCGCCAATACCTTTTTCATTTTTATTGAGATGCTTTGTTAGGACAAAAACTCAAATATTTCTTTTTGTATGAAGGCAGGAAAAGGAAATGTTATATGACATGGGATTTCAGTGGGTTATGAATGGATTTTTATCATTTGAAATGTGAAAGAAGAGGGATAAGTTATGAAGAGGATTTAAATCACCGTTTATGACCAAGAAGGTCTTTGGAAACCATTCACAGAAAATATTCTTAAAAAATCAAGGTCGAAGCCACAGAAGGTCTTTGAATAAATATAAGTTTGAAAAGTCCACGTCTGGTAGGTCCTTGAAAAATATTCCTTAAAGATTCTCGTCAAAAAAATACAATTTTTTTTAATTAAAAAATCCTTAAAAAATTTAAACAAAAATCCACATAGTGTTGATGCCTGAAAATTTTATATTTTTATATATTTTATTTTATATTTTCTTTAAAAAATCCACGTTTGGTTGATCCTTAAAAAAATATTTTTTAAAAAATCTAGGTCTGGTTGGTACATAAAAAAATATTTTCTTTTTAAATCCACGGCAGGTTTATCCTTGATAAAATATAAAAACATCAAAGACTGGTCCTTGACCGTAAAAAAAATATTTTTGAAAAAAATCAAGGATGATTGGTCCTTGAAAAAAATTAATAAAAAATCCACATCTATTTGATCCTTGAAAAAAAATTAATAAGAAATCCACGTCTATTTGATCCTTGAAAAAAAAAATTAATAAGAAATCCACGTCTATTTGATCCTTGAAAAAAAATATTAAAAAAAAATCCACGTCTGTTTGGCTCTTAAAAATATCCACAAACGGTTGATGCCTGAAAAAATATTATTTAAAAAATCCACGTTTGTTTGATATTGAAAAATATTTTTTAAAAAAATCTACGTCTGGTTGGTACTTAAAAAAATATTTTTTTTAATTCACGGCAGGTTTACCCTTTATAATATATTTAAAGAAAAATCAAAGACTGGTCTTTAATCCTTAAAAAAATACTTTTGAAAAAATTCAAGGATGATTGGTTGTTGAAAAAAAAAATTACAAAAAATTTACGTCTCTTTGATCCTTGAAAAAGATATTTATTAAAAAATCCATGTCTGTTTGATCCTTGAAAAAATATTTATTAAAAATCGATCCTTTTTTAAGCATCCACTTCCGGTTGATCCTAAAATAAATACTTTTTGACCCAAAAAAAATATTTTTGAAAAAATTCAAGGATGATTGGTCCTTGAAAAAAATTTAATAAGAAATCAACGTCTGTTTGATCCTTGAAAAAAATTTAATAAGAAATCCACGTCTGTTTGATCCTTGAAAATAATATTTAAAAAAATCCACGTCTGTTTGATCCTTGAAAATAATATTTAAAAAAATCCACGTCTGTTTGATCCTTGAAAAAATATTTGTTAAAAAATCCACTACTGGTCAATTTTTTTTCAAAGCATCCACTTCCGGTTGAACTTAAAAAATACTTTTTCAAACAAATCTAGGAAAAAAATATATTTTTTAAAAAATCAACGTCTGGTAAATGATTGATGGTTAATTTTTGAAAAATTATTTTTTAAAAAATCCAAGGATGGTTGGACTTTGAAAAATATTTTTCAAAAATATCTACCTCTAGTTGATCCTTGAAAAAATATTTTTTCAAAAATCCAAGGATTGTTGATCCTTGAAAAAATATTTTTTTAAAAAATACAGGTCTAGTTGATCCTTGAAAAAAATATTTTAGAAACAGTCATCCTTGAATTTTTTTCAAAAATATTTTTTTTTAGGATCAAGGACAAGTCTTTGATTGTTTTTAATATTTTATCAAGGATAAAACGGAAGTGGATTTAAAAAAAAAATATTTAAAAAAAAATCCAAGAACGGTTGATCCTTGAAAAATATTTTCTGAAAAATCCAAGCCTGGTTGATTTTTGAAAAATATTTCTTTAAAAATCCAAGGATGGTTGGTCCTTGAAAATATATTTTTTTAAAAACATCTACCTTTGGTTGAAAAAATTTTTTTTTCACAAATCCAAGGATTGGTGATCCTTGAAAAAATACTTTTTTTAAAAAAATATACGTCTAGTTGATCCTTGAAAATATATTTTTTAAAAAAATACACGTCTAGTTGATCCTTGAAAAAAATATTTTTGAAAAATCCAAGACGGGTTAGTCCTTAAAGATATAACACTTAAAAACAGCCATATAACAGTTTATTGTTACCGGAAAACGCATTAATTTGTTGAATTGCCGTTGTTTTGTATAACAGTTTGTACATGTGGTATAACAGTTTGTACATTTGGTATAACAGTTTTAAACTAGATGGGGAACTATGTAAAAACCTTATATTCTTCAACATATTGTATGAAATATTTTAAACCCTGAAATATAACTTGTATAATAATTGAAATCCATTGTATAACAGTTTGAAAATAAAGCAACAACTTTTTTGAATTTCCTATTTTCTTCATTTAAACATAGATATTGAATTTATTAAGACGTCTAATAACAAAACACTTGAAAATAATGCATTTCTAGGTAAATTTTGTTAGTATAACAGTTAAAGTTTGAAGTATAATGGTTTGAAATAACTATCCAATCATTATGTTTTGTTGTCCCAAGAATTCCAAATGGTGTTAAGACTTCAAATTGCACATTTTTTTAATACACTATGCTGTATAACAGTTTAGCTTGGTAGTATAACAGTTGAAAAAATCACCCAAAGTGAATATATTTGAGCTCAGAACAGTTAAGTATGAATTATTATTACATTTATATGGAAATTATATTGTATAACAGTTTTATATACGAGTATAACAGTTTGGAAAACCTCTTACAAATATTATTTTTGTCCATTTTATCGTTATTTCACAATAAACGAAGTATTTCCGAATAAAATTTTTTTGTTTTATATAAAGTATATTACACCTTTCGACAAATTATTGGGTATAACAGTTTAAAATAATTGTGTAAGTAGTAAAATAAAGTACAATAAGACTATATTATGTGAAATTAAATAAATAATAAAAAATTTATTAGTGCTATATTCACTTGTATGACAGTTCAATAGTTGTGTACATCTGTATAACAGTTTGAAAAAAGCCTTACAAATATTGCTTTGGTCCGTTTTATCGTTTTTTTATAACAATAAACAAAGTACTTCTGAAAAAAATATTCGGTTTGAAATAAAGTATATTACACCTTTCGACATATTGTTGTGTATAACAGTTTATAATAACTATAGTAAAAATGTAATAAGACCATATTATTTTTAATTATGTTAGAAACAACAAATTTATAGGTGAATATAGTTGTATAACAGTTCAACAATTGTATGTAACATTATAACAGTTTAAAAAAAATATTGCTATTTTCCAATTTGCCTTTGTGTAACCGCAAAATATGTATTTCCCAAGAAATGCGAATTTAAAAAAAAGTATATTCGACAAATTAATGTGTATAACAGTTTATAATAATTTTATGAGTAATAAAAATATATAAATACCATAGTATTTGTAATTATGTTAAAAAACAACAAATTTATAAGTGAATATATTTGTATAACAGTTCAATAATTTTGTATAACAGTATAACAGTTTGAAAAAAAAACTTTGGAAATATCGAAATTTCCCATTTTGCCGTTATTTAAGCACAAAAAATATATTTCACCATTTTTTTTTTTGGGTTTCAATAAAAGTCTTTCCGTTCCATTTTTCGCAAATCATTGTGTATAACAGTTTATAATAATTGTGTAAAAATGTGAAATAAACATGTTATTTGTAATTAAAGTAAAACAAAACTATAAATTTATGTGTGAATAATGTTGTATAACAGTTTAAGAGTTTTGTATAACAGTTTCAAAAATCTCAAAAAATATGTATATACATAATTTTCTTGAAAAAAAATTCCTTAACAATCCAAAAAAAATTCTTAAAAATCCAGGTCAGGAAAAATCCATTTCGTTGTTCGAGAAGGACAATTTTTTACTTAAAAATCCAATTTTATAACTCAAAAGATCCTCTAAAAGTCCTTGAAAAATAATTTTTTATTTCATGTTTCAGATGGACAATAAAAAAATATTTTTAAAGCCATCTATACTCATGGCAATTCCCATTTCAAAAATTTGCCTAAAAGTATGCTGTAGAAAATGTCTCTCATTTTAAAAAGGGTTATAGATGTGATTCTAATTGTCTGTCTGACTTCCTGTTGTCCATGCTTTTTGCCTTTTAACATTTATTTGCCCAGCGACACCCATTTGTAATGTCTGTCTGTCAGATTGTCTATCGGTCTGTTTGTCATCCTCCAATACCGCGTGGTTGGCTGTCTGTGTGTTTGTGTCTCCGGTTTCACTTTGATGTGTTAAATATTAATTGCTTGTAATTAAGGGTGGTTAAGAATGAATGCCGCCACGCAAAACCCAAGTATGAGTTTCTTGACACGTTTATTTCCCTTTCTCTCTCTCTCTCGTTTAATGTTTACCTTTCCCACCCATAAAGGGGTCCTTTCCGCCTCTCCCCTCTCCCATAGGACAACAATCGAAATTTGTTTCATTTATGTATGGAATAATTAAAATATGGAAATGTGATATGATTTCGGTTAGGTTCGTTTGTCCTGCCATTGTACTACATACCTTTTAATGGACGTGGTCGTTTTTGGTGTTGTTGTTGTTATTGCTGCTGTCTTTTAGGATGTACTTCCGTATTTGCCGTTCGCCTTTCCTTTTTGATGTTATTGTTGTAGTAGTTGGGTAAAGCTAAAAATGAACAAAAGACCAGGTAAAGCTCAATATAATTAAAGTTCATTAGTACGCTCGAGAAAATGAGTATCATTTGTATTAATATTTGTTAAATTTAAAAGCATAGTTTTAGGGGCACACTTGGTGGGGGGCAGAGAAATCTTGTAGTGCAGGAAATAAAACAGGTATTCAACTAAACAGAGATTTTTGTTTGTTTTACATGAAGGAGAAATTTTGAGGTACAAACGGATGTGGGTCCTGGCCATCCCTCCCTGATGATTGCCAATTATGTTTTGTGTTTAGTAAAATTAATGATAATTACGGTAATAATACTAAACACCATAAAATTATGCAAATTATTAGAAATTATTGAGGATTTTCATAGCATACTTTAAGGTGAGGAGTTGAGGAAATTTAAAAATAAAATAAAAGGAAATTAAATAAGGGTGAAAGAAATATTTAAAAGGCTTAATTTAATTTAAAGGCCTTTGGAAAATATTTTAAAAAAATCCAAGTTCAAAGATCTTTGGTTAGCCTTGAAAAAATATTTAAAAAATCCACATTTAAAGACCTTTGGTTAGTCTTGAAAAAATATTTAAAAAAAACCACGTTTCTTGGCCTTTGGCAACTCTTGAAAAATATTTAAAAAATCCACATTTAAAGACCTTTGGCTAGTCTTGAAAAAATATTTAAAAAATCCACATTTAAAGGCCTTTGGCTACTCTTGAAAAAATATTTAAAAAATCGATGTTTAAAGGCCTTTGGATATTCTTAGAAAAAATATTTAAAAAATCCAAGTTTAATGGCCCTTGAATATTTTTTAAAAATTATTTAAAAAATCCACATTTAAAGGCCCTTGGATATTTTTTAAAAATTATTTAAAAAATCCATGTTTAAAGGCCCTTGGATATTTTTTAATTAAAAATTATTTAAAAAATCCAAGTTTAATGGCCTTTGGATATTTTTTAAAAATTATCTAAAAAATCCACGTTTAAAGGCTCTTGGATATTTTTTAAAAATTATTTAAGAAATCCACGTTTAAAGGTCTTTGGCTACTTTTCCAAAAATATTTAAAAAATCCACGTTTAAAGGTCTTTGGCTACTTTTCCAAAAATATTTAAAAAATCCACGTTTAAAGGTCTTTGGCTACTTTTCCAAAAATATTTAAAAAATCCACGTTTAAAGGTCTTTGGCTACTTTTCCAAAAATATGTAAAAAATCCACGTTTAAAGGTCTTTGGCTACTTTTCCAAAAATATTTAAAAAATCCACGTTTAAAGGTCTTTGGCTACTTTTCCAAAAATATTTAAAAAATCCACGTTTAAAGGTCTTTGGCTACTTTTCCAAAAATATTTAAAAAATCCACGTTTAAAGGTCTTTGACTACTTTTCCAAAAATATTTAAAAAATCCACGTTTAAAGGCCCTTGGATATTTTTTAAAAATTATTTAAAAAATCCACGTTTAAAGGCCCTTGGAAATTTTTTAAAAATTATTTAAAAAATCCACGTTTAAAGGCCCATGGATATTTTTTAAAAATTATTAAAAAAATTCAGGTTTAAAGGCCTTTGGCTACTCTTGAAAAAATATTTAAAAAATCCACGTTTCGTGGCCTTTGGCTAATCTTGAAAAAATATTTAAAAATCCACGTTTCTTGTCCTTTGGCTAGTCTTGAAAAAATATTTAAAAAATCCACGTTTCGTGGCCTTTGGCTAATCTTGAAAAAATATTTAAAAATCCACGTTTCTTGTCCTTTGGCTACTCTTGAAAAAATATTTAAAAATCCACGTTTCTTGTCCTTTGGCTAGTCTTGAAAAAATATTTAAAAAATCCACGTTTCTTGGCCTTTGGCTACTCTTGAAAAAATATTTAAAAAATCCACCTTTGTGGGCCTTGTAATATTTCTGACAAAAAAATTAAATTTCTTTTTAAAGCCCTTTAAAAAATATGTAATTTGTTGCCTAATTTTAGGCTGTTTGTATGCCTGTCAGTAGAAAAAAAAGAAAGTTGTTGAAAAGTTAACATCCCTTGCCGTTTGCTTTCTCCTTCCATGGCCGGGAAGTCACGTTATTTTTCACTTTTGTTATCATTTGACTAACAGAAAAATTCTATTCAGTGTTTATTATGAAATGTTGACAGAATGAAAACAACAAAAAATATTTTTATATTTATTTATAATGAAAAAATTTTACAAGATTTATTGCCACTTGTCAGTAGTCATATAAGAATTTTTTTCATGTTGTTTTCATGCTTGTTTCATTTCGTTTTTCATTTTCTTTTTATGGCAAGTAAGGAAACGGAAGGCAGTCGAAAAGACCTTCAAAATACTCAATAAGTTTTGAAATGTTGGAACCACCGCAAGAGAACACCATGTGGAATCTACGAAGTTTCTTTCAAGTTTCCAGTTTTTCTTTTTTTCTTTGGTTGTCGAAATGTTTAACTAGATTTTGGGTTTGTTCCGACATTGGCCTTCAGTTTGTTACTACTTCCTTAAGACATCCTGTTTTCTTCTTCCTTTTTTTGGCAAAACAAAATACGCCTTCTTAAGCAATATTTATTAGGTTTGATTGCCCTTTTTTGTTGCCACTGCTGCTGGTAGGACTACTACTTCTGTTTCCGTTCTGGAGTTTTTTCTTTTCTTTTTTTCTCTGATTTCCAATATATCTAAGCAATCTTGTCTTATGTTGCGAGCTGACGCCATTTTTTCTCATTTTCCCCAAGTTTTCCTTTTTATTTTGTGACAATTTTCCCTTCGACAACAAGTTTTTTCTACATTTTCCCAATATTGATTGTCTTTGGATGTGGTCCAACAAAAAGAGGACCGAATAAAAACCCTCACACAAAAAGTCTAAAACATGACTTGTAATAGTCAATTTATTTGGCTTTTGATGGCTTTTCTTGTGTCCTGTCGAATTGTCTAATACCACAAACGAAAATGGACAGCAAAAACTCAAAAAAAAAAAAAAAAAAAAGATTTCCCAAAGAAAAATTACAAAACATTAATGAAGAGCCATATATGTATGTGTGCTTACAAGTCTGTGTGTGAGAGAGGGTGGAAATTTATAAAAAAAAACTCATCAAGCTTAAAAGGCTAGACAAGAAATCTATTTTTTCCTATATTTTCCTATCATTCCTAAATGTACAAATTATGGCCCCCAAAAGTATGCTCTGGTATGTTGTTTATTGTCCAGCAGGAAACTATTGAGGAATTTTAGTGTCGGGTGGTGGAAAGGGTGGAACACATCAAAGTGAGATAAAGCAATCCAAGTATTTTTGATGAGAACTCATTAAAATTTCCAAAAATGATATAACCCGCCCCTAAAAGTATGCAATGATTTATGGGCATCAAATTCTTAACGAAATTACCATTTTTATGGCCATTAAATGATTAAAACAATGGACAAGGAAATATTTTTATGGAAATTAGACATTTGGGGTTAGATAGAGGAATTTAAAACTGTAAAGCTCCCTCCGAAAACGGATCCAATTTTCCTCAAAAAAATTTTTTTTTCTAAGAAACCCAATTCTGCCTTAAGTTTTATGCCAACCGGTTTAAACTAACATCTTTTCTACTAATCCCATATTGATTTTAATTACCTCAATAAACCCTGTCGATGTTTACCTTAAGGCGTTAAACTTAAATAAATTTTATTGCCTACTTTTAGGCCCTCTGTACATATTTACAATTAAAACTGAAGAAGTTGTCGTTTGGGTGTCCTTGTTGATGATTTAATTAAACTTAAAATTAGTTTTGGAAATTTCTGCTGAAGACACACGAAAGGCCTTGAAGAATTTTAATGGAAAGTGTCGTCTGAAGGATCATATCAAAGGATGAAAGAAATTAAATGCAATTATTATTATAATTATTACCAAGGTTATTTTATATTTCTCGAGAATTTCAAAAGGCTTTTAAAAGTGGATTTTTTAAATATTTCCTCAAAAATTTCGAAAGGTTTTAAAAGCATATTTTCAAAAGACTTTCTTAGAATTTTAAAAGACCTTTAACGGTGGATTCCTTAAAATATTTTTCACGAATTTCCAAAGGCCTTCAAACGCGAGTTTTTTAATATTTTAAGAATATCCAAAGGCCAAGAAACGTGGATTTTTTAAATATTTTTTCAAGAATATTCAAAGGCCAAGAAACTTGGATTTTTTAAATATTTTTTAAAGAATATCCAAAGGCCTTCAAACGTGGATTTTTTTTAACAATTTTTCAAGAATATCCAAAGGGTTCAAACGGGGATTTTTTAAATATTTTTTTAAAAATATCCAAAGACCTTTAAACGTGGATTTTTTAAATATTTTTTTCAAGAGTAGCCAAAGACCTTTAAACGTGGATTTTTTAAATATTTTTTTTTTAAAGTAGCCAAAGACCTTTAAACGTAGATTTTTTAAATATTTTTTTTAAAGTAGCCAAAGACCTTTAAACGTGGATTTTTTAAATATTTTTTTTAAAGTAGCCAAAGACCTTTAAACGTGGATTTTTTAAATATTTTTTTTTAAAGTAGCCAAAGACCTTTAAACGTGGATTTTTTAAATATTTTTTTTTAAAGTAGCCAAAGACCTTTAAACGTGGATTTTTTAAATATTTTTTTTTAAAGTAGCCAAAGACCTTTAAACGTGGATTTTTTAAATATTTTTTTTTAAAGTAGCCAAAGACCTTTAAACGTGGATTTTTTAAATATTTTTTTTTAAAGTAGCCAAAGACCTTTAAACGTGGATTTTTTAAATATTTTTTTAAAATATCCTTCAAACGTTGATTATTTAAATATTTTTTTAAAATATCCTTCAAACGTTGATTATTTAAATATTTTTTGAAGAGTAGCGAAAAGCCATTAAACGTGAATTTTTTAAATATTTCTTGAAAAGTAGCCAAAGGCCTTCAAACGTGGTTTTTTAAATATTTTTTTCAAGAGTAGCCAAAGGCCTTTAAAAATTGATTTTTTAAATATTTTTTAAAAATGATCCAAAGCCCTTTAAACGTGGATTTTTTAAATATTTTGTAAAGAATATCCAAAGGC